GGCTATCCACGCATGCTCCTTTCGATTGCGCATTTTATAAGACATAGTGATCTTTTAACCTATTTACGTAGCGGCCAGGTTTCTGACGATAACAGGCGTTTGTTATCAGAACTAAATCAATGGAAAAATAAAGGATAAAGCTCTCAGTATCCATCAATCCTTGAGGGATGTGCCCCGCAGTCGACTTTATCAAGCATCGTTAGTGGTGATTTAATGCATGTTTGGCCTATGCAATGAATCGCGACGGCTTACAGATGTATCAAGCTAACGCTGTTGTCTTCTCAGACAAGTCTGGCAGTAATTTGTGGACTCTGGGGAGACGTAAAACTTGTTAAGCTTGGGTTGCGGGACCGAACCCACATGTATTGCAACGCGTCTCTAACCACTGCGCTACACACTCCTCACTAAATCAGATAAGTGCTGGGATTTGCTAAGGGACGATGGGTTATCGCAATGTGTAAGGCCAAGCTGCGTGTTGTTGGAAATAAATGGAATAAATAAACACGCAAAACATTCTACGTAATTAAAAATTCTTAAGACTCTTCCGCGGACGACGGTGCACAGCATGATAATCACTGCTCTCCTGACATTCTATGCGAAGGCACCTGACGATCAGCAAAGACTAGCTAGGATTCTAGATGTGCGTTTGATTTAGCTCGTTTTCACGGCTGAGAGAAAGGCGAAACAAAGGACTCGTATGGTGCGGTGGTGAACACGTTAGCTCCCGAAAAGTGTAAGCGTGTTCACTCCCAACTGCAGACACCAGCGGTGCGGAGTTTGGCCAATATCTCAGCATCGTTATGGTTATATTTCACATAATACCCTGCAATTAAAAAAGGATAGGCAGGAAATAAGTCCAATTTGTTCGATTCGGATTTCGAATTTTCCAACTTATTTGACATTTTAACCTATGTCATTTTTAGATAGCAAATGAATTGAAGCCTGGTGGTCTAGGAGAGTTATTCAGTTGTTCACACGTGCCATTCATTGTAGAAATGGGTTTGCTCGCATCGAAGCGAGACTACTTGAAGTTAGATAAGTGGCTAGAAGACAAATTCGCCGAATTAGGGGTGAGAAATACACGATTTTTTTTTGCTTATATATTCATATATATATATATATATATGCTTTGTCTGTTTGATTTAGCTGGTTGGTCTTTTAAATCACTATACGCAAAGTAATAGACGAGAAAGTTTTTCGTAGTGTAGTAAGCTTGGTTGGTTCATTGAATGTTCGATTCAGCTAAAGAATAGATACATTTTTAACGCCATTTCTGTTTTATGCACTGCAAGTGTCCTCAAAACATCCCTGCAGGATCCGCTTGTCGACAGTGTTCTCAACCAACTGCAACGACGTTTGCTGATGCAGACGGCAGGCCAGTCGTTATCACTAGAGACGTTTTCGATCATGATGACGTTCATTCGGAACCACTTGCCCAAGTTATCGCCGTCAGCGAAACAGAAATACATGGCTCTAACCGAAAAATTTAAAGAGATCCAGCAACACCAGGTTGGTATCAATGTTTGAACGACGCCAAGTGTTAGAAAATACGAAAAAGACAAAGAACTTCGACATCGTAGTGTTGGGTTTGGAATTATCGACTTAACCATCACAGTTGAATATAACTGTATTATTTTATGCTATATATTGTTTTGTATTATACCACACTGTCATATATTGTTATACAACACTTACTACTACTTGGATACTTGGATTATCCGTCTTCATTGGTTGTGCAAGCCCCAGCATGATCTTCGTTTTCTCTGAGTTTTGCTGGTTTAGCCATTGTGGTTCCATGGAGTCCCGAGGTAACCATAACCAACGTCTGTCCCGCATCGTCACCACCACAAGCAGTCACCGCCTTTGGATCAGAGGATATGGATCAGAGGGAGATTTGCCATCATGCTACTAGTTTGATATCAGGACTTTGGCAGATCTTGGTATTGGTTTACTCGTAGCTGGACTTCCGGATGGAAACGTTGGACTCCTTCTCAGCTTGGGAGACCTTGCCGCGAAGACGAATCCCCACGCTGTACATCGCAGTCCGACACCCAGGAACACCTCCCAGCTACAATGAGGCGGTAAGCTGTTGGGAGGTGTTGGAATAACAATCTTATCATTTATAAGACTACTTATGATCATTTCAATTGAAATATTGAACTATTGCAAGTATTACATGTACATGACAGAAAACAAGCTCTCAATCCTGAATATGAACGACGAAATTCTAAGAATATGTCGTACTGCAACGTTCGCTGCCTTAACGTGCTCCAATATCAGAATCATGACCGACTGCTAATCGTTTTTCTGTCATCTGCGACGCCAACAATTACTTCTGTTATTCGCGTCGCGTTGTCCCGTTATTAGTGCTGCATCGAAATTCTTCCATATTGTTTATTCTGTTAAAGCTAAGGAAGTAAACTGCGAGCGTTTCCGTAGTCGTCTGTTGTGGTTGTGGATGGCGATATAAAGAGGTACGCGTAGCGTGGTGGTCTTTTTATCTGTATACATAGGATCGATCCCGCGCCCCAGGCTCACCAAGGCCTTCGTCCTCGATATCGTCGAGTCGGTGCCAAACCTTTCTGGGAGGATACCAGCAGTGACTTGATACATCGATAGGCCACTGCGAGTCATCGTATAGGCGTGAAATGCATTCAGTCACCACCGATACTTGATGAAGTCGAATGCATGGGACATCTCTAAAGGGTCGATTAAGACGAAGAGCTTCATCATTTACCCTTTTATTAATCGATATAGAGATTTTGGCACTACGTACAGTGTAATTTCGGTCGCGGTTTGCTGCTTATTCTCGCTTGGCATACTGGTTTTATAAAGTAGTGAACTTACAATGCAACTAAGTGTGGCCAATGTATTCATATAGCTCCTGTCTTATTTTTCTCTTTTTTTAGTCTTTGCTGGTATACTCGGTACGTTGACATAGTACGTCGAATTTGAAAAGAGAGATTCACTTGCACGAATCTCTTGTTTTGTTGATTTTGAAATCTGCACTAGTTATGACCTCGGATTTCGCTGGACGGATTTCGTTAATGACACCTTTATTTCTTTACACTTTTTCTCGGTTCACTGGCGAAACGAGGTTGTAAAGTAGGGAGCGAAATGAAAATATTGTTTGATTCCTATTGTCGGAACTGGTGTCTTCAGTGGTTCAAAATTTGTTCAAATCAAATCAAAATCAGTTTTGTGTAACACATCGTTTTCTAACAGTTTTCATAAAATTCAATAGCGAGTTAGTTAGTTCTAGCAAAATATTAGGTCTTTCGGAAACCGATGTCAGGTTTATGTTTTCATTTTTCTCGTCTCCGTTTTAGAAATAGTCTCTTTTTTCCGAATGATGCTTTATTATACACCATTTTAAAGATCATGCTATGCATTTCCACACCGTATAATTGAAATATGGTAGAATCACATAACTGAATCAGATATCTCGACAAATTCACGAATTTAGCTCGGACGTAGTGGACGGAGACGGCCCAGAGCATTGATAAGTTATAGGTCCAAGGAAGTATTAACGAATGGGCAGAGCGATGTTGGTTTAAACGTTCTCGTTATGGCGAATTCAACATTGAAGTTGGAATGTCGTGGACATGCTTCTGCTACTGACGACAATGATTTGAAGGATTACTTTAAGCAAATACACTTACTACTGTTCGCGAACTTGCGGAAAGGCTCTTTATAAGTACTCTAGCTGTTGTGAAGCATTTTAAGAATGTGGAAGGAAGCTCGGAAAATGGATCTGGCACAAATTGAATAGCAACCAAAGACATTGCCATTGTGAGGTATCGTCGGCGCATCTTCTGTGCAACCAGAACGGCACGTTCGTCACAGCCGAAATTTTATCAAAAGAATGTCGTACTGACAGTTTCGTGATTTACTGCTGAATTGGTCCATCACTGCGTCTTCAACCCGAATAAAACCGCGATGGCGAAGTACGTCTAGCAAATTGACGATATTCACCAGAAACTTCAATGGCTCTATCCACCATAGATCAGTACCAATCTTTCTTCATGACAACGAAGGGCGATGCGTCGTACAACCAACAATGCAAAGGTTGAACAAACTGGGCTACGATGCTCAGCCTCGTCAACCATATTCTTTAGATCTCTCGCCGGACCTCTCACCTTCTGATCACCAACTTTTGGGGCATCTAGACAACTTTGTATGCTAGAAGTCCTTCAGAAACAAGGCTGAATCCTGAGCTGTCTTCAACGACTTCATCGCCTCCGAGAGGCCAGAAATATAAGCAGTGGGTACAAGTAAACTTGTTTCTCGCGGGCACCAATGTGTAAATTCGAATGGTTTGTTTTCGATTAATGAAGTATGTCCTAATATGTTCTAAATCGAGATGTGCTTCTTTGGAAATGCAGGTTGAAGTCCGAAATTAATTTCCGAAAGCCCTAGTATTTCATCGCGAGATAATTTTTTCCGAACTGAAATGTCAATCAGAATTATCTTTGTATCATTTTTTTCGTTGATTTGGTTTCCAGTGCTTGTGTGTTTAAATATTTTCATTCAGATGAGGGATTCAGCGCGCAGTTCGTCGGTTTCTTCAACAGGACGCTCTCCAATTGTTGGAGGGTTTGGCATAGACACCAGATTTCCTGGACGACCACCTGGAGCCGGTGGACCACCGCCACAACCAATGCCACCACCTCCGCAACCGTTTCCAGCAAATGGTGCTGGAGCTCCACCGCCACCTCACAATTTGCTGACAATGCAGGTTCTGGCAATGTATTCAATCGAAAACTGGGATTCGGTCTTAGAGTCTGGTTGTTGCCAAATGGTATCAAATTTATGAAGTCAACTTGGACTCGTTTAAAAAGGAAAAGTGGTGGTGGGTAGTTGGTAATAAATTTCAAACTTGATGGATTCAAGTGGAATTTGTTGGCTCGCTGCTTCCATTTTTTCCCTGCCACTTTTCTCAGCATTCTCAAATTTATTTCGTTTTCCGCAAGAGACATAATTTGCTGCGATGTCATTTTTTGCGTGCGTGGGTATTTTTCTATGTTATGAACGATCGCTGAATGAAACTAAAAAAATTATTTGGGCTAGCTGTACGTTTGCTGTTGCTGTTGCGTTCTATACCACCTTACCGAAGCGATAATACATAGTCTTATGTAGTCTTTCGATTTACCACCAGCTAGATGATACTGTTCTTTGTTAACCAACTCTCATAATAGCTTTTATCACTTTAGGCCGGGCCCCAACAACCTGTGTCAAATCCTGTGGGACTTGGGTCGATGTTTGGTAGTAGTGCGTTCGGTGGAAGTCAGGATTTACTTCGGGTATGATTTATGTCCTTTGTGGTTGCTATTCCGAAACGTGTGTTTTTCTTCGATTTTATCTTAAGGAGGTGATCTATGTATTTGATGTCTGCGAGTGGTGCTGTGTAAACACTACATCGGATAAGGCTTTTGTGATAGATATACGCCCCAAGTATGCGAATTGGTAAATGAGACGTAATAAGAAGCTTCAGAATACTTTTACAATCGTTTTGTATTCTTCAGTCAGGTCTCCCTCAGTATGTCCAGTTGTGTGGAAAAATTCTTTCATTTTGCAAGGGCTTTTACCTCGATGTAACTATTCAGTATTTTCTTGTGTGGTTAACCTTACACAAGTTTGGCAAAAAAAGTTTTATTAACATCATTTTAGCTTAATCATTGAAGAAAATGCGCATAGAAAGTTCTATGAAAACTTCTAGACTTGAAATTTTATAAGATATGTTAGACATTTTCTATTCAGCAGTTCCTCACTTAAGCGGTCAGCTCGTTGCAGTGCAACCTACCACAAGTTTCAACGTATTTCCAAGAGTAACTGTGCCAAGATCTGCGTTACATTTAAGTGCAGAGCTGTTCAGTATTTTGCAGTGATTGCTTAGTTTTTTCTAATACTTGTCTCCTCTGTCGCCTTCTGGGCTCTGACCATAATTGAAAGCGAAACTAAATTACTGATATGATATGGATGACTTGAACTGTAGAGACTTTGACTATTGAAAAATTTGGAATAGATTCTTCATCATTCTGTGGTTTTTAACGGAGTAAAACGTACCAGTATGCAATCAATCCCTTTTCTCTCCCGCAGGAAGAAACGTCTAAACGAAATTGTTATTAGTAGTGCAAGCTGTTTCTATATTCGTGTGATTTCCATCGAGACGTGCCACTGCATGAACAGAGGCAAGGTGCCATGCGTAGTTTTACGTTGCTCAGAAGCTAATATGGAATTTGTGATTTCATTTTTTTCTGTTTTTTTCCTTGTATATTTTAACAATAGTTTTATTCCTCTCGTTTGCTGTACCACGAATATATCATTGCGAAGCTTATTTTATGCACTTTCATAGTGAAGATGAGGAGGTTCGTGGACGTCCATCTGTCATCATGGTCGATGAATTGATGGGTGTGATGGAAGCAAATACACGCAAAAATGCTCAAGAACTTGCTGAACAACTCAGTGTAGACATTTCAACTGTTTTCAACTGTTTCGACGCATCTACATAAGATTGAGAGCGTCAAAGAACTGAACAAATGGATGCTGTACGAGTTGAATGACTAGTAAAGAAGTCGTCGTTTTGAGGGATCTTCGATCGACGCTTCTTCGCTGGCCGAACGATTCGTTGTTTTTTTTTTCTCACTTGTAACCACAAATGGGCCCTCTGCGACAACCTACGAGGATTGGCCCAATGGTTGGACCGCGATGAGGTTCCATACCAAGCCGAAATTACATCGAAAGAATATCATGCTGACCGTTTAGTGGTTTTCTGCTGGCGTAATCGCTAATGGTTTTATAATTGTCACAATTCTTTTCACGATAACAAGAAGGTAATATTTGGTCAATGGAATATAGATCTTCATGTCTCTCTGCACCGAATAATCGCTGGCTCGAAGTGGAGTGCTAAGCTTTGTACGAATTTCCCACTGGGTACATTTTCACGTTTGCCACAAAGCACATTGTCAAACTTGACTTGTAACTGTGTGTGGGAATAATTGCAATACATTACTAACAATAGCTTATACAGGAAGCACATGTGGAAGCATGTAGCTGCTTCTATAAAGAGTTTATGTGAAAGCGACACAAAGGCTTATGCAGAAAGTCCATCAGATAACGATGGAGCAGCTTCAAAAAATGTTTATGTGGAAGTGATACAAAGGCTAATAGAGTCAGGATGTGGCTAGCAGTAAACATAGTTGGTATAGGAGATAGAAACCATTTGGAGATTGATTGCTTCAGAGCGGCCATACTTCGCACAACCGACGCTGTTGTTGTACTTTCACAAAGTCGGTTCGAACTATATTGATTAGAAGGAACTCTGAACCACGTTTGTACTATGGTCTGAATGACTACATTTGACCGAATTAGAATGCAAGAATATGGTCGGAGTGCACGTAAACACATCCAAGTTCGTGTGGATAAATTCTACCATTTTCGTCGATATGGTGCCCGTTGGGAGCGCATGTGGCACAGTGGTCGGAGGCACTCTGTAATACAAACGTGGAATCGATCTTTGTGCCCATGGCCCACCAAGTAAGCTTTTCATCCCTCCGGGGTCGGCAAATTGGTGCCAGACTTGTCTGGGAGGATAGCAGCACTGGCTCGAACATGGGCAGGCCAGTGCGAGTCACTAGAAAGTCCAGGTATGCATTCAATCAGCTCCAAACGATAATGAAGTCGAATGCATGGCGCATCCCTCAGAGGTTGATCAACGCTGAGAGCTTTGTCTCTTTTTTTATTCATGGGACCCGTTTAACATGAATCCATCTACTAATCAACTGGCTTTTTTTCTCTCGCCACTTCTATTACGCATTAATTCGCCACCAGAGAACATGCTATTTGAGCTGGCAGTTAACTATCTTGATATTGGCCGAGGATTTTTGGTTGAGTAAATTTGTCACTTTTTTGAAGCTCATCCCTTCTTAAATTTCTCGTTTCTTTAAATGTCATCTTAAAATTACTATATAAGAAAGTAAATGAATTCTGTGCGGAATTGAGTGAGTTTTCTTTAGTACGAAATATGTAACTACTGTGTAACTTAACTATTTTTAACTGCGTGCTCTTTCTATCATTTACTTGTATACTTTTTACAAGTTCTGTTTATAATGAAGAAAGAACGTTCCAGAACTCAGATGTTAAGAGTTGAACGCGAAAAGCAATTGCACGACACGATTTAGCTTCTTTAAAGTTCCTCAAAAAGTACTAGATTTGTCAAATTAGAAATTTAGTCATCACATCCCGCTGCCAGTCAACAACCATTTGGTGGTCAACAAATGGCAATGTCCCCTTCATCTCAAATGATGAGATCTGGCATGCCACCGGCTCCTCAACGACAAGTGGGTTTTTGTATTTGAACACAATTTAAATGACTCTTTACCGATTTCGGTAGTGGTATTCACGATTGAACGGTCTCCTGATATAATTCCTTCAGTTTAATCATTCAGTATTAAATTTTGAGTTATTACAGAATTCTGCTAGTGGAGTTGGTTGGCAAATAGGAGGGCCAACAGGACAAAGAGGCCCACCAACACCATCTCAGCAGATGGATTTCCCACCGCAACCACCTCCTACTTCTTCCCAGGTGGGTGGAAAGCGGTTCTGGAAGTTTTCCTTTTTTTCTCTGAGGTTCCTCACTTCACTGTATCTATTACTATGTGTGAGGTTGTATAAAAATGGAGTATGTCTTCTATGTTATGAATGTTTTGAAATGAACGCTGATTTCAAGGTTGATTTGCGTTCGGCTACAATGCCTTTGGGTGCTGGTCCCGTTGTAATTGACGACATGACTTTTCCTAAAGATGTTCAAGATGAGGCTAACATGTATTTTGAACAGGTGAATTCAGATTATTTCTTAGCGGTTATATAATTCACGATTTGCTATACTAACCAATGAGGATAGTGCTTCGTTGTGGCGTGGAATTTCTTATACATGAACTGCGATGTAAAGCACTAAAGCACTAGGGGTCCACCATTCCTGAGTCTGACCAAAAATGGAGAAATTCGGCACAGTCTTCTGAAGACTCAATCAATAATTTCATTGAAGGAGATTTAGTTGCTTATGACAAAATTCCTTGTGATCCCAATGCTTGGCAGTTGCTTATTGTGGTGACCTCGAAACGGTCTGGTAAATAAAGAAGATGGTTGAAGTGAAAATTGAACTAGGGTTTTAGAGATTCTTCCCAAAGGGGAGTAATGAGCACATAATGTGCGACTCTTCACATATGTGCATAGAATATGCATGTATATATACGTATATGTACTATGTATATACATGCATATATATATGTATTATACCTTGCGCACACATAAATCTATAATATACACGGCTCCACATCGCCTATTGTACGGTTGGACGGATGCAGACACTTCCTGCATTCGTTTCATTTCCTCGCCATATTCCACAGAGATCGTCGAGTTTGCGTATAGGTTCTGTTGCTGCTTGAATGGCTTTGAAGGTTCGTCGGGTCAATATTCTGAATAATCCTTCCACAGGAAATGGCCCGTTTTGTAGTTAGGGAGAACCGGTTCATGACAGCAAGACAAGTCTGGTGCCAATTTCTCGACCTAAACAGGGTGACAGGGTGAGCGACTCGTTGGGCCCAGAGCGGGGTCGTGCCAGCGTTTTTCGCATATTAAGTTATATATACATGTATGTCATATGGTTTCTTTTACTTCAACTATAACAATAAATTGGACTCCGATAAGTATTCAGTAGTTCCATGAATCTGTTTCAGATTTACAACCAATCCTCATTGGTAGGTGACCTGATAGCGCGACTCAAAACTTTGAAGACGTCACCAAACTCGCGTGATCAAAAGGTGTGGAAATTATCACAGTTCTTATACAGTAGAATAGTCATGTGATTTAATTAGAATTGTTTTTTTTTCTTAAGCTTGATGTTGTCTCAGTATTTCAGGTTTTGGCATGTGTTGTTAAAAACCTTTTCGAGGAGTATCGATTTTTCCATGAATACCCTGAGCGCGAGTTGCGAACAACAGCTGAGATTTACGGTGGTATCATCAGGGAGGGGATAATTAGGTAAATTCATAGACTAGTGAAGTTTTCTTTGCTTGGTGATTCAGGAAGGTTGCAGCAATTTGCATTTCGCGACGGCAGTACGAAAAGTGATTGAATCCCTTCAATCTGAAGTTGGAAGTACGTTGTGGACTTTTGGTATCGTTGCTCTAACAGCGTGTCGTTCAAAATTGTGCTCTTATCCAAAGGTGAGCTTATGAACGGTAACTATTATGAACAACGTTCGGTTATGGAAAAGCTGTATAAAAAAAGTTGTGTAATAAAGCCGTTATCAGGTTTGTTGTTCTTCCTAATATTTGGAGGTTATGCTACGGTTACGATTATAATTGCTGAGATATTTTTGACTGTTCTTCAAATTCCTTTTTAAACTTCATTTGAACCGAATATCATGTTTCACGGGAGGTAGTATCGGTTTTTATCCATTCGACGTTAAGTACGGATTTCTCAACTGTGTAATATGCGTTATTGGTTAAAGTATAAAATAATACCTACATTTTTTGCAACAGGAAATAACTTCATTTACTTTACCACAGGCAAACATATTTTACTTTTGGATATGGTATGGTTCCTTTTGCGCAGTGAAAGCCCAGAACACAATTCTTTACTAAAATGGTTTTCAATAATGCTGAGATATTTGCAAAATCCGAAGGAACGAACGCGGTGTTGTCCTTTCCAGGGAGTTGCGCGTTCACCACCACACCGCGCGGGTCCTTCGTTTCGCCTGTCTCTCAGCTAGTTTTCATTTTTTGCCAAAGATCGATAGAACTAGAAGAGATAGGCGAAACGAAGGACCCGCGTGGTGTGGTGATGAACGCGCTACTTCCCGGAAAGGACAATAGCGCGTTCGTTCCTCACCGCAGACACCTGCGGTCAGCACTTTTACAAATATCTCAGCATTATAAAAGTTATATCAACTATATTTTACTTTTTATTTTCTGCCTACTACAATTTTGCCTACATCAGGGACCCGGATGGTGTGGTGGTGAAGTGCGCTGCTCCCCGTTAAGGACAACAGCGCGTGTTCGTTCCCCACCGCATACACCTGCGGTCCGGAGTTTTGCAAATATCTCAGCGTCATTGAAGTTATATTTCGCAATACACCCTGCCATTAAAAAGAGTAGGCAGTAAATAATAAGTTAAAATGGTTTTGTTTCTCGTTCACTCCATGCCTGATTTATCCAGATTTTTTTTTGAGTTAATTCGCTCCGGGTGTGCTCAAGTTGTTTCTATATGTACACCGATTTCCCTCACAAGCGCGAAGTCTCCAAGTTTATGAAATCTGTTGTTACTCTATTTCTGAGCAATTGTCGAAATTTATTAAGGAATCCTCGCCGTCATGTTTTATATTTACTGTGGTCGTAACGACAAAATTTCGTTCCAACAAAAGCTTCTGGTGCTATTGTTGAGTGAAGATTGATTATTCTTTTTCCAGCGTAGTAGTGTATATTAGTTGGAAACATTGAGTTGGAAAACCAGACTCATACTTTTGTCTCTGTCCATGTTGTTTAAACAAAAATACGATAAATGGTAAGCAGTGGTTTTTTTAAGGGACTGGAAGTTTCTATTTGGTATGTTTATTTAGGGCCTTTATTCTTTAAACATTTTTAAGTAGGAGTTTAAGGCTATCTACCACTTATTATCATATTAAGTTATCAGGATCTATTCAGGTTTGTTCCATGATCGCAACCCACGACAACTTTTCGAAATTCCCACAAGGACTCAAAGAATATGTCCTTGCTGGTTTAAAGGGTGAATTACCGGTGCAAAATATGGCACCTCCACCACTGGATTGTAGTGGTCCTTCGACACCGCCTATCAGTTGGTCACCAGCTCAACGTTCATCAAGTTCTGAAAGTGCAAAGGTGGGCATTTTTTCAAGTTTTATGCCACTCTGTCATCATTCACCATCGTCGAATGTATACGAGTGGCGGTTGGCAGGATTTTGTTAGACATCCTTTTGCAAATAAATTAGGTCTTCTTACATGCGTTATTTCTTCACCTTATTAAATAATAAAGGTTTTAAATTTTTAGATAATCTTTGAAGAACAGGACTTCTATTTTTGGTGTCCTTAACTTTTGTATTATTGGCTTTGCTCGATATTTTTTTTCCTTAGATTCTCAGTAATCGTTAAGGAATATCTCGTTTGCAGAACACCTGTTTTCAGGCCACAACAAGCAGTACCAGTGTTGGAAGTACGAATAGGACAGTGAGTGTTGTACATATTCGGTTCTTCTTCACCGTAATTTCCCACGCCCTGAAGATCATTGGTCTATTATTTGGTTTGGATGTTTGAGATTGTCTGCTACTCACGTGGTGACACTCGAGAGAATCGTTCTAGATGCAAAAATCGCTTTCAAAACGCAGTGGACGAATGTCTGCTTTAACACTTTCGACTACTTTCTGAATAGTCTCCATTAAAGACAAAGATAAAGATAATCTCCAGATTCGTTTTGACAAAATGCTCTTAGCTCTCTTTAACTATCTTTAAAACGTTGGTATTATAGTTTCTAGGACAGACGTTGTATTAACCTTGGCATTGGTCAAAAACTCCGTGATTTTTTTAATCAATGGACAAGAGGTTGTTAGTATAATATATGTTCGATAGTGGCTGTCTTTTCGGTGGAATTCGTTTTCTGCGGAGGATGGTTAGATTACAGACGACTTAGCCAAATATCTCGATAACGACAAACCTAGAAGGATACTCTCTCTGTGATTGAAATTTGGCTTTTAACTTTTCTGTTACGGTTGCGGAAGTTTTTGGCTGAGTAGATTTCCTATCTGTTTACCTTTGCAAGTTCTAAAGAAGGCGAAATGCGCCAAAACTTTAGTTACTGTCGAATAAGGGTTCTAAACATCTGATAGCTTAGAGTTGTACTGGACCTCGTAATTGCTTAGCAGTGCAGTGAAAAAGTTCGTATAAATCAGTTGGTTATTGACTTTTAGGAATCCCCAAGAAAGATTACTGATCTTCGTTTTCTCACATTTATTCTGTACGCATTCTTATTACGCACGTAGTTTAATGACAAATAGTAAGAAAACCGTTTTGGTTTATTTTGGCTATGTTATTTAATTTACATTTTATTTGACATGACTCTAATCATATCCATTGTGCACAGCCCGGCACATCTTGCATTCGAATCGAAATTTATCATCCACAAAGGTCTTCGAACATTTCACGTGGTGTTTCGGGCGGTGCTTGAGGATTTCGTCATTATGAGTGTCGTAGAATGCTAGCCTAGTTTATCTCCCTTGTAACCTCAGAGATTGCCGAGTGAGTGTTACCGTCTAGATTGGTAGAGAGCGTTAGAGAGGAGGTGGAAGGAACCAGCTCCTTGCTTCCTGATGGACAGCATCACTAACTACTGTGCTACCGTACCTTATATTCTTCTTTATCACCAGTGTTCTCTTTGATTGAATTCTAGTTGTTGTATGAAGTCCTGAGATATTTGCAAAACTCTGGACCACAGGTGTATGCAATGAAGAACGAACACGCGCTGTTGTCCTTACCGGGGAGCAGCGCACTTCACCACTACACCATCCGGGTCCTTCGGTTTGCGTGTATCTCAGCTAGTTCTATCGATCTTTTTTGCCATCAGCAATCACCCGTCAACGGGGTTGATCTAGTTGTTGTGTTGTCTTCGATCGATCAGCTGCATAATTGAAAGATTCGCTGCCGTCACAAGTATCGCTTCTTCTGGATGACTTCATGTTTTAAGGCAGCGGACTTTTGTTCGATCTATGAAATCCGCATTGCGGGCACACAAAGGTGTTGTTTTATCCCATCATGCATCAGATAAATTCTGTTTTCGAACAATTAACTTTGTAGTGAATGAAAGTATGGTTCTAGAATGGGGTATGGTATAGTGAGGACGGCTAAAAAGGGTGTACGGTCAACCGAGGTGATGGTTCTTGTATTATTCACTTGATGGCCAACGGATCTTCGCAGGAAAAAGTCTCTACGCTAGGCACTTTGTGGTAGGGTTTTTCTGCACTAGTAATAAGCATACTATCATTTAATGTACGTGTTTCGTTGCTAAGCTAAAACAGGGTCGTTGCCAATTATTTATTCGGTTAACGTTTCCACGTCATTTTCCTCAGAGCTAATGATCCGAGTCGATGTGCATAGTCCTTCATATTCTCGATGTTGTTTTCGTCATATCGAGCCAGATCTTCTTTAGTGAAGCGTCTCACCAATGAGGCGTAATCACCCGACGATGCTCTTTTATATACAGGACAGTTGTTGTTGGTATGTTAATCCGGTGATAACTTGTTTTTCCCAGGCAGTCCATCCTACAGAATTCGTTATCATTATCAGCTAGCACATTGCGTAATAGCATCATTGTAAACCGACTTCCATTAAATCTCGGTGTAAATTACCAACGTACCTTATTTCATTCATAAGCTAGCACGTGGTTGTTACCGAACTTTTATTCATCTAATGTTTCGACGTTTTCTTCTTCATCGGAACCAATAGTCCGAGTCAATGTCCACAGTTAAATGCATATAGTCATGTAAATCCATGTAGTGTCACTTTTGGTCCTAGTCTACTTTGAGTCTATTTTATCAACTTGAATGACCTGACTCAAGGATTTTATGAATATCAGCATTTGAAAATAGTTCGTTTTTCTACTGCAAGGCAAGATAGTTTTCGAGACAACAATCTTTTTTGCTCATCTACCAACGACGTTCGTTGCAATCAAAGAATTGAATTGTATTCCTATCAGGATTCGTTGCTATCATAGACTTGTTTTCCTATCAGGACTTTTATCATCTGATATTTTAGGTGGTAGTGAGGTTCTATTTGTGGCGAGCAAGTTTTTTTTCTGGCTTCATATGGCATTTGGAAATTCAGAATTCCCAGATTCGGTGAGCATGTTTATGACCGACTTGGGTCAAATATAGGTAATTTTTTCCACGGGAGTTCCGTTTGCTAAGCGGAGTTGTTTATTTGAAGTGTGCTTGTTCCATTTAGTCGATAGCTGCCCTATCACAGATATAACTGGAATCGGGTGAAAAAAGCAGTTTTGTACACTTAATAGTGTGAAAAAACTTTCGTCCGTTCTACTTCTAGTGACAAAACTATAGGATCTCTCTATCGTGTTTATTGAAGTTCCACACAGATTAACGTTTCTTCGCCGCAACAATCCTACAAAATGCTGCCATGTGTGGCATGTGTACAGGACATTATTCAACGTCAGAAAGTTCTTGGTGTTAAAAGAGTTACGCATTCAAAGGTGTACATTAATCAGGTTGTTACTACCCAGTCTCTTTGTGAACAATTCTATCCTTCAGTATATGTGTGGACCGATACATAGAGTAACTTAAAAGGTGCATTAAAATGACAAAATTTCCTCACGAAATACAAGTTTTACGGATTATGATGCAGGGAATGAGGGGTTCTCTTTCATCGATCTGGTAGCAGATTTCCAGATATGAGTTGAATACGAGCATACGTGAATATGTGACAAAAAAACTAGCCATAAGCGACCACTACACTAAGACAAAATCTGTTTTGGAGCTAAATGTGTCAAAAGATTGGTTCTATTTCTAGGGAAATTCTGTGTTGTCGTACACGAATGTGGATACACTAGTGTCGGCGACGGAAAGGGAAGGCGCCGAAGTGGCTCAGCCGGATGTCGCTGTAGTCGATAAGGTGCTGTTTTTATTCAACAATCTGTCGCAAAGCAATATGGTAGCGAAGAAGGACGAGGTGAGTTGTAGTTGGTTTTCATTTATATATAATCTAAAGTAAAATTTATTTCAGATACTGGCATTTATCGATGAACATGGTGAGCCTTTTATCCGATGGTTTGCGCAGTATGTTGTTATGAAACGAGTATCTATCGAGCAAAACTTTCTTCCGCTTTACAACCAATTCATACAAGCGATAAATCATCCGCTTTTGGACGTTCATATCAAACGGGAGACATTCAGAAATATCAGAGTACGTTGTGATTTCCATTATACACCGTCCTTGTTGTTACTACTGCACAGATACCTGTATAGCCTTTTATTTTGTAAAAAGGGAAAACAATGTTGGCACCATGTGTCTAGAATTGAAAACGTCTTCTTTAGATTCTTCTTCGTTCTGATAAACGACAAGCTGCTTCCAACTACAGCGACCGGCAACTACTTAAAAATCTAGGAATGTGGTTGGGGTCTATAACAATTGCACGTAACAAGCCTATTTTGATTCATGTGAGGAGGTTCAGCTTTGTATTATCTGTTTCATCCGAAATTCCGTTACTCGTCTACAAACTTGAATGGGCAGCACCAGACCCAACTCTTCATGTGTTTCTTTAGCGTACCAGGGTCTTCTACTGAGTTACGTTGCGTTTCTTTCTAGAGGATGAGCATAATTCTTCAGTAAAGTTTTTCTAAATCTACACTGCTCTTTGTTAGAAAACCAATACGAATCGCTAACCGAGCTCCCTCAAATTGAGTTATGTATAAGTTTTGGGAATATGCCTTGAGTAAACATTGGGCTTAGGTATTGGAGCTCAGCATCACCCTGCTACTTATAATACGAATACGAACAAGCACATTCATATCCAGGCGCTCAATTGCTTGAATAGAACGTCTGGAAAAGTACCCTTCCGCATTTATCACGTTTAACTTTCTGTCTAATTTCGGAATATTTCACATAGTCACGTAAATAGTGTGTATATTGTAGGGGCGCATGTAGCGTTGTTAGTCTCCTGCAAAACACTTGGTGTCGATCGCGTTCACTAGGCACACCAAGCCCTCCATCCACACAGGGCCGGCAAATTGGTACAAGACTTTTCTGGGAGGATAGCAACACTGGTTCGATTCATCGGTAGGTCACCGCGAGCCATTGTAAAGGGCAGTTATGCATTTATTCACCTCTAACGATGCTTAGTGAAGTTGAATGCATGGCGCTTCCCTCAGGGATTGACCAACTCCGAAACCTTTATCCTTAATTTGTATGTATGTATGTATGCATATATACATATATATACGTGTATGTATGCATATATATACATTATATACGTGCATGTATATGTATGTACATGTATACGCATATATGCGTATTGATTACTAGGCTATATATACCCTACGTATGTGTATGTATACGTAGAGGATAAAAAGATAAGGCTGTCAACGTTGGTCAATCCCTGAGGAATGCGCAATGCATTCCACTTCATTAAGCATCGTTTAGAGGGGATTGAATGCAGATCTGGCTTTTACAATAACTAGCGGTGACCTATCGTTTTATCAACCCAGCGCTGCTATCCTCCTAGACCAGTCTGGTACCAATTTGCCGACCCCGGAGGGATGGAAAGCATGGTGAGCCATGAGGATGGAGGTCGATCCCGTGTATGTCGCAGGGCTCCTTCGACGACTGCGGTACATGCGCCCATGTATATACATACGTGTATATTCATGTATGCGTGTTTATATATATATATATATGTGTTATATGCTTTTATTTATTTTATGCGCTCTATCTTTCACATCTATTGTGCGCATCTGCGAAGCTCTTCCAACTTTTACGTGTGACCTCGGATGTTGCTCGAATACTTCCTTTTCATCTTGAATTTTGTAGAGTGCTGATCTAGTAATACCTCGCTGGAGTCTTGTGGTAGCCCGGGTAGAGCGTTCCCATTTGGATTTCAGAAAGTTGCCCTCTCCGAGATAAATCTGGTACCAAGTTTCCAACTACGGAGGGTTGAGAGGTTTGGTGAACCCGCTCTGGGATCGAACGAGCACTGTGCTCGTGATGGTCAACATCACTAACATTTCGATACCCATCTTCCTATACACGTATATATTCCTATGAATATATATATATATATATATATATATGATGTACTTGGGTATAGACGGCTCGTCGTCACTGGTTGTGTGGGTCCCAGCATATTCTCCATTTTTCGGAGTTTAGCTGGTTTAGCCATTGTGGCACACTGGAGTCCCCTGGCCAAAGTCTATCCCAGGTCGTCACTATCATAGGCAGTTGCCGTGTTTTTGGATCAGAGGGAGATTGGCGACCATGCGATTAGTTTGATACCAGGACGGTGGTCGATCTTGCTATTGGTATTGGTTTACTCTAAGCTGGGTGGTAAACCGTTGGGAGGGTATAAATATATATATGTATATATATATGCGTATATGTATTTTATGTAGTGTGAAATCTCGACGTTCAGCTGCAGAAAAATGCTATCGTAGTACTCCACTAGTACGAATGTACATTATGTAATATTGTGGCACGGTAAGCCTGGCTCGGTACTCCAGGTTAAAGTCACTTTTTTTTCTCGTAAGTTGCGTTTCTTGTTTTGTAGGAATTAGACCTGAAAGCGTTGCTCATGGAAGCGTACTATAAAGGCCAACAAGAGCTCTTATTTGTTGTACCCTTCATTGCAAAGATATTGTTCTCTTGTGGGAAAACACAGGTACGAATTTTCATTTGTCATCAGTTATTGTTGAATAGAGCGAAACTTCACCTTTTTATTAAACAATAAGTCGTTTTCACCGTGAAAAATGCAGGTTTCTTATACCTTGAGTACTGCTTTTCAGTTGTTTGGCGCAACTTGCGCGTGGATACGGTCCATATTAAAGGTTTTAGCCGAACTACACAATGAACCGGATTTGAAGATCAATCTAAAATTTGAGATCGAAGTAAGCTCGATTGAATCGATCCTTCTGACGTCTTGATAAGAGCATCTTTTCGCCATGAAAGTTTGATGAATGAGAATCTAATGTAGGAAATGCGAAAAAAAAATCGACAATTTTAGGTGCTGTGCAAGGAACTTTCAGTGGATTTGGAATCTTTACCTGTTGAAGGTTTACTGAAGGATACCGATCGCCTTGTAAGGGTCACACAGCAACTTTCCGACTTGAAAACGCTTTCACAACCTGATCAAGCGAATAGCAGCCCAGTACCCGGCCAAACGCGGCATGTACCGGATTCAATCTCTCTTCCTGGAGTAGACACGAAAGTTCGGAATATTACATCAAGTCACGAATTTACAAGGAAGCCGTTTTTTTTTTCACCACAATTTTTTCAGCCGTCTACGCCGAATCCAGAGTCTGAATCAACGTCATCGTTGTTAGATGGTGCTGCCAGTGCAGTAATTATGCCACCGCTTCATTTTGCTTATCATGATATCAATGTGACGTCGTACGAGGGGCTAGTACCTCATATAAAGTTCCAACTCTCGCTTCCATTATTCCAGGTATGTAAGAGTCGTTTTATGAACTTTCAGTACCACTGGTCGCAAGTTTACACATCTCGAAGTCATGAGATTTCTAGCAATTTCTTGATATTTTCCAGAATTTTTGTTGAGGGTTAGAACAATTGAATGTATTTTTTTTTACAAGTCATAAATGATGAATGAAATGAGTAGATGCTTTTCATGAGATTATTGGAAGGTGTATCTTGTATTATGTCCATTCATCCTTTCAGCTTCATCCACAAATCAAACATCATGTACGTCCGGCACTCACACAAGCAATTAAGGAGCTCATAGGTATTATTGGAGCTGTAATAATATCTTCAGTAACAGTACTTTTCTCGGATTTGCTTTGATTTTGAATCTTCTTTTAAATAAACAATTTCTTTTTAGGACCTGTAGCTGAAAGGGCGCTGAAGATTGCAATGATTGTCACGGAGACATTAGTTCGAAAAGACTTCGCACTTGATCCAGATGAGAACAACATGAAGAAGTCCGCGTTCCACATGGTAAGGCAGATTTCCTTAAGTTACCGAGTCGTGACGTACCTCTGAAAAGGTGAACTTTTAGAATTTTGGCTTAACAGCCCCGTCCGGTATTTCGTCCCTATTTCAATTTGACGCTATATTATTTTGAGTAATGTTATTGGTCTAAACGTCTGTTTTTTCACTGTAAATAAGGGGAGATCTTACTGTTCTGCGACTTAGTAAAATTACATTTGCATTCAAATAATTATTGTGAATTCTAGATGCGAGCCATGACTGCAGCCATGGCAATGATAACTTGTCGTGATCCGCTGGCGGCCACAATGATCTCACTATTGCAACAGTCATTCTCGAACTCACTTCGTACATCTAACACTGAACTGGTTAGGAGCGTTCCAAAAAATGTAGTAGATAAAAAGTTAAACATTGCATTTTCATTCATTTTAATGGATTTGTATGGCAGTGGTACATAGAATTCGAGAAGTTATATTTAAACTACTTCATTTGATCCCCCAGGGTTCAAATGTTGAAAAGAAAACACTACAAGCATATGGATTGTGAAGTGAAAAATTGCTGATTTCTACCCGCTTACTTCGTTTGCGCTCTAGCGAGGCCGACTGAGACTTAGTTTTTAATTTAAAAAAAATTATTTGGGGTCTCCTGCTTTCTGGCTTCAGAATTGAAATCGTTCGATATGGTGCTTTTTCACGTAGAAATTTTTCTGTTTAGTACTCATTATTAAGTTTTCTAGCTCTTTTTATGCTTCAGTCAAAGATGATCGACGAGGCAGCTCGCGCAATCACTCAAGATAATATCGAACTGACGACGAATTTTATTGTGAAGACGGCGTGTGAAAAGGCAAGCATATTCTTCAGCTTAACTATTATTATAATGTGGCTGGTAGCAAGATTAATACTTAATCTCCGATATGAGTTGATTTCCTTTCACACGGTGGAAAAATAAGGGCCACTTTCAACTTTAAACCACCATGATCATTGTGAATTCCTCTAATTGAAATAGGAACTGCCAGAGTTTGCGCTTTACTAGTGTTTTCCAAAATTTCCTACTGTACCAAGATGAAATTCTGAAGTAAGAGGACCCAGGAAACGTTACCTTTTCTCGTTGAGGCTCATATTTTGAAAATGAGTTCAGTCATCAAAGTGCTATTTTGTCATTTAAAAACGATGTTATACTCTATTCTTGTTGCCTATGGCTGTTAGGACTTCCTTTAAAACTTCAGAAATATAAATTTCGCCTTTATTCTTCTTGGAATTTTTAGTTCTAAACAATTTCAGAGTTCAAATAGTAGTTTTAGACAACTAACTATTACATAGAAGTCTGTTTTACAAATCAGCCATGTTTTAAACTCTTCAAGTGTTCTAACTACCGAAAAATTGTTAGCAGTTTGCGGAAAACTAGCATCGGAAACTAAGTCTTAACTAGTAATTTAACTATTGTTCGTTACTGTCAAGTGTTTTAGCTAAGAATATCGGTCACAGATTATTTGTAACCCATGACTTTTTGGTGCTGTATTTGTAAATAAGAGTGGTGATAATTCTGATGCTGCAGGCTGCTGCAGAGCTGGAAAAACGGCTAGATACAGAGTCAGCGCGACGAGTGGCCGTTCGTCGTGAAGGGTCCGAATGGCACGATGTAACCATGAAAAAGATCCAGGCTGAACTTCCTCCACGAATCGCTATCCAAGTTGGAGCTACAAAAAAGGAAAATCTAGCGATTTATGAGCAGTTCAGCAGGTGCTTTATTTCAATTTTTGTTTTTAGATGTTCTAGTCAAAATCGGTTGTTCCAAGTGCTATGAAATGTTATTTTTAACCTCACCTGTTACACAACGGTAAAATACTATTAAAGGAAATTCACCACAAGTTTGTGACAAACTGCTTTCAGTCGCATCTGTGGTTTTAAACCTACGATTAGCGATGAAACAACGGCATCCATGATGGAAACTGTAAATCGAGCTATGGCGATGCCTGATAGCGTTAAAGAAGTGGAGCAACTAACACAACAGCTTAACAGCATCATCAAGGAGGTTGATATTACAATGCAAGCACAACCAAATCCTTCAAATAAAGTGAGTGGGAAGGTAGATGCTCTATTTTAAGAGTTGGCTTGTCTTCTTGAGGGATATTTTTAGGCATATCAAGGAGTTGGTGCAATTCGTGATTTGCTGTCGCAGCTGGCTTCTAATCCACGTGACTCTATTACTGTTGTTAATCTCATCACTCGTTCCGTCGAACATCTTCTTCATGCCTATCATGTCGACAGCACATCTAAAGGTGGCATAGTGTGTTAGTCCTTTATGTAATATTTATCCCGTTATCAGTGCAAAATTCTTGCCTTTAGCACTTGACGTTGAATGGGCACGACGTCTTCGTGATCTGTTTCTCGGCGTGTGTCGTGTTCTGCTGACTCAGTTTACCATAGTCGATTTATCGAGGCGTGTAACTGGAACCATTGTCAACGTGAGAATGGATTATAAATGGAATGTAGAAGCAATTGAGGTTTGTTCAGATTACTTCTAAATTGTCTTAAATAGCTAGATGAATTTCAAATGAATTTGAAATTAATGGGAGTTTTAATACATTTTGAGCCTATAGAAATCTGCAGGTACTACTGAAGCACCAGTTGGTACAAGCACAAGTATTCGATCAACACTTAGCTCATGTCATGGATGGTGGTTCCAATGTAGAGGCGACGGTGTTTGCACAGCGGTTTTTCCGTGCAATTGGCTCAAATGATGCCACCCGTATTCTTGCAATTAAGGAAGTGGGTTTGACGTCATCTACACAATGATTTCTTTTCATAGTGCTCTATCCATTGTTTCCTTGTACTCGGCCGTAGAGCAATATCTCGACTTAGTCGTATGCGGATTATTTGGTAGCGATAATTTTTTTTACTAGAAAAGTTGAGGAACAAAGTGAACTTTTGAAATGCCTGCCTTTATCACTCGAGACATAGAAATAACTTTTTGAAATGTTTTCGCAATTTGCACCTGTTTAAGATCAAGTTCTAGAAAATGTCGGAATTTAAATTTTTAAAATATTTAATGGAAGCAAGTACTGCGGCCACCAACCTTAACAGCACATTGGTGAACCGCGTCATGTTCCATTCTACGAAATTCGAACTACTCAATCTCTTCGTTGTTTGAAATGTGGACCACGACAAAAAAAGCAAAAATGTGTCGTTTTCTTGTTCAGCAGTCGCGAGGTTTTTAAACAGCATACATTTACTTCCATAGAAAAACACAATACAATACAACGCTAGCTGACATTTCGGCAGTATCGCCTCCTTCAGAGTCGCTTTTTCGTGACTTCCAATGAGGAAGTTTAGAACAGCTGATTATAGTCGCATGTGGTTGACGAAGAAGCAAAAAGTTTTCTTGTGGGCTGTTTGAATTGTTACAACTCACTGTGAACCGAGATATGCTTGGTTAAAACAGAAAGGAGCAATTATTTTCTGGCACGATTGTAATCAATTCGACTTACTCGTTGTCTGTTAACCCGTAATAGACGCTCCTGTTTAACATGGCTTGCAGAATGGAACACAGGCAATTCATCGTCTGGTCTGGACTTCCACTGGTTTTCGACAAAAAAATTTCAGTGGCGAAAACACTTCAGAGGTTCTGAACATAAACAGAATTCTTGAAGATACTTTATTCTACCGTTCTGTAGATATGAATGATATGTGTGCTACTAGTTACTGTGTGTTATTGTTGTTCATGGCACGTGTAGAGCAGTGGTCAGAGATGTTCTGTAGTACAAATAGGTTGGATCTTGCGCCCAAAGCCCACCAAACCTACCATCTCTTCGGGGTCGGAAAAATGGTACCAGACCTATATGAGAGGATAGCAGCACTGACTCGATACATCGGTAGACCATCTCGAGTCATTATAAAGGCCAGGTATGTATTCAGTCACCCCTAACGATGCTAAATCAAGTCGAATGCATGGCGTATCTCTCAGGGTTTGACTAACATCGACATCTTTATACTGTTTTATTTCATTGTGGTTCATGATGCATATAAATTGCTCCCATCAATTGAAACTATTTTACAGTTTACATTGAATCTATTTCGATGTTTTTTTTCATTCCTTCATTTTAATGACCGTAGTGGTAGAATTGAAACACTTAGTTGTATGTCTAATTACCGATCAATTAACTTTTTCGAGAAAAGGTTTTTCTTAAATCATTAAGTGTAGGAAATTGTTTTTCTGGTCTCATACAATTTTGATCTGCGTTCGATTACCTGTCAAATGAATCATACATATTGCGGTAGGAAAGAAAATTTCTGCAGCGCGTTAAACTGAAAATGTGCAGTGAACTGTGCATGCCCCAACATCTACAACTAAGGGATAAACACAAAAGGCATTATGTAGCGGCTTTCATAGTTTTGAGATTTCTCAGCCACAATGGATGATTTCAGGCTTTTCCGGCTACCTACGAGCAACTGCTCAAAATGCAGCAGGTGCAGGCGATGTTACGACAGCAAGCTGTGGCTGCAGGTGCAGGTGAACCGAGCCTTGAATCATCACTTGGACCGTCCGCAATCGATCCGTTAACCGTTGGTTCGGGTGGTGGAGGTGTGCCACCAGCATTGCCCGCGGCTGTAGAGGAACCTGGAATGTCTGATAAAGTTAGTGTTTGTGTGGGCTTACATTCCGATTCTAATATATGGGGAGTTTGTTAGGTAAATGTGTTTAAATCTAGGTGGAGATCATTCTTCGGGAATGGATCGGTTTGTGTTATACACCAATGGCACAAAGAAATCCGAAGGAGGCGTTGTTTCAGATGATTGTCATGGTGACTAGGTTACAGATCTATAAAAATGTGCTCAATGTCGATTAAATATATTACTTGGATTGTTACAGATGCACGAGCATGGTGTATTGTCCGGTGATGAGAAAATCTCTCAGTTCATTCGTATGTGTACAGAGATGTGCGTTGATGTTTCATTGCGGCTTCTGAAAACGGATGCGACGTCACCTGTCAATCAGTCGAATATCGTACGGCAACGTTGCTACTATACGCTTGACGCGTTCGTCAAATTAATGGCGTAAGCTGAATTCCTTTGAATTCTGGATCACGTATTGAAGTTTTAAAGAGTGCCCTAATGTATCCTACTTTCCGACGCATCAAACAAGTCTTAAAGTTAACTTGGTTGAGAGTTTACTGTAATTTCAATGTTTATTTCATTTGATCTTTTAAATGTGCTGTGTTCATAGCATTGATACTGTAGTTTAGACTGATGGTGAAATATTCTGATGGTGGAAACACAGCACCATCGGGCGCGTCGAAGATTGCCCTTTTGAAGAAGATCTTGCATACAATCACAAGTGTGCTGCATTTGGACCATGAAGTGCGACGAGCGGAATTTAACGCGATGCCCTATCATAGAATCCTCATTACACTTTTCATAGAGCTCACAACGTCGGATGGATCAAATCTGGAACCAATTGCATGGTCTATCATTGAAGCTTTTGGGCAGGTTTGTCATTCATTCATAACATTTCATTTGATGTAAATTAACTTTTGCTGTCATCGCTTGGAATAGCATTTTTTAGAATGCTCTATTTCTTCTTCAACCTCGCCGATGTCCTAGTTTTGCATATGCTTGGTTGGATTTCGTTGGACACCGTGCAGTGATAGGAGCATTGTTGGGAGGTATTGCCGTAAATAAGTATATTTTTCTTTGTTTTTCTTACTTAGATTAGGCTGTGATCTCTTATCTAGTGCGGGTCTAAATACTTCTTCCATTCATTTTGGTGTATTGCAACGGCGTTCATCGCCGTCAAATTCGTGTTGGTTTGGTTGCAACGTAGGAAGGTCTTAAATTTGGTTACAGTTGCAATTATTTAATCTTCTCATTATACGTTGAATGTTGATCGTACATGGTTTTAACTGGAATCTGGAGACAGTCGTGTTGGTTCGCTGGAATTTGTGATTCGGTGGGAAAGTTGATGACTTCCAGTTTGGTTCGTTCTAGGACAGCAATTCCAATCACGGCAGCGATCGCCTTAGACCAGTGTAGCAAGCTGGGTGCCAATAAATATTAATATAATAAATGTAAATATAAATATTAGTGCTGAGAAAGTTTTCGTGATTTAGTTCGCACATGCCCATGTTAATTTTAATCTTCGGTGTAAAAGTTTCGAATGATGATTCCATAGAAGTAGGTGGGAAAGCACTAATTAAATGCATGCAAATTAGTTTGAGATCTGATTGAGTAATCATGATGTAAGTCCTTTTTTCTCGTACTACTGTACACAAAAAGCTCGGACATGAAAGGTCTACTGTTCATCCAGCGATGGAATATAAATATAGTTTTACGTTGTCGTTTCTAATATGAAGCAGGAGTAATCGTTCTATTGTAGGTAATGGTTTTGCTGAGAATGTTGATCCAATGAAAACATCAGCGATGTACACACAGTTGCTGATTTGCCATTTGAAGTTCCTAGCACCATTCTTGCGTAATATCCAGTTGCCGAAGTCCATTGCTGTGTTGTACAAAGGAACACTTAGGTCGACATTATTTTTATTTTTATAAGCTAAGTGTACTGTTGTGCTGTGTATAGCATTCCATTTCACCTTTTCTTAAATCAGAAAATGAGCTTTTTGTCCACTTTAGGGTATTACTGGTTATTTTGCACGATTTTCCCGAGTTATTGTGTGAATATCACTACGTGATAATCGACACAATCCCTCCAAATTGTGTGCAGCTTCGCAATCTTGTGCTATCGGCATATCCGCGAAATATGCGCCTTCCGGATCCATTTGCGTTAAATTTCAAGGTGAGATTTCCTGTGATAGTACTCGAAGACAAATTTTGAGGGTTTATTTTCCGCTGACGTTACGGACATGTCTCCGTTGGCACTTTCTCAGTATGTTATGCTTTCGTTTTTATAGGACATACGGCTAAGCCAGCGTTTTTAACCTACTTGCCAAACTACATAGGTTTTTCGAGTACTTCCTTATGTTAGAGGCAGAAAACTAAACTAATGCGTTTTTATTTAAGCAGGTTGATAGCATTCCCGAAATGGCAGTCGAACCAAAATCGAACTTGAACATGGCGTCTATCATCCCGGATTCCATTAGGCTTCCTTTAGATGCATATTTGAGGACGCGATCAGCTGTTGATTTCCTTTCAACGTTACCTGGGATGCTGCAGGTTTGATTTGGTGTTTACATCTCAGGTCGTTTAAAATCTATTGACTCACCTGCATAGCTGTGCACCATTCATGAGTTTATATATTGTAGATATCTGAGACTCCAGGATCTAAGTACAACAGCACAGTGATGAACGCCATGGTATTGTACGTTGGAATGAAGTATGTTTATTATGATGAAATATTGCAGTTGTGGTTAAATACTGTGATTAAAGATTTGAACTAATGAGCTCATTGTCATTAAAAAAAAGTTGCAGAGATTGTCAATAGTTTTAAACTTGAGAGTTTAGGAGGCTGTCCAAAATTTTCTATCGTTTATAGTTTGTAGACGCAAGGAATAATGTTTCAGTCCAATATTTTTACAAGCAGGAACTTTTCGTTAAAGTACTCATTACGTAGTTACAATTCTGATTGTACGAGTTCTTATAAACCATCTCATATTTAGAGCAATAGAAAGCCTACATGAACGGAGACAACGTATTTCAATCCACACAATAGCGCACACGGCATTTATGGACATCTTCCAAAATCTCGCCGTTCAGCTGTGTACCGAAGGTAAGGTTTATGTTAACAATTTTTTAAGCGCATAATCAGCTAATCCACAATTTTTTTGAGTGCTTATATGTTTCAAGCATGTTTTTGCTTCAGGGCGCTACTTACTGTTCAATGCTATCGCAAATCAGCTTCGTTATCCAAATGCGCACACACATTATTTTAGTTGTGTTTTCTTGTTCCTGTTTTTAAACTCAGATCATGATGCAATACAGGCAAGTGCTAGACTTATTCATAATTATAAATTTTAATTTTATTTTGCACTGCATCTGTCTTTTCTTTTACCAAGGCCTTACACCGAAACTTTAAGGAACAAATTACTCGTATTCTTTTCGAACGTCTGGTGGCTTTACGTCCTCATCCATGGGGTCTGCTTATCACTTTCATCGAGCTAATCAAAAATCCTGTGTATAATTTCTGGAAGTACGAATTCACCCGATGTGCTCCAGAAATTGAGCGGTAGGTTTTGGAGATTTTCACCGTACAGTTGTACTCCGCCATGGTTGCGAGCCACAACAATTGTTATTCGATTATACATCGTTCATGGATTGATGTTGCTCTTCCAGATTGTTTCAAAACGTTGCGAATACGTGTGTCACAGCACGACCACCTGAGTCCGAAGTGAGTAAAGCTTGAAACGCCAGTAAAGGATTGCTTTTAAGGACTAGCTGGTTATTTAACTATGGGATGTTTTACTTTGACATTTGCTCCTGTACACATGCAATGAAATCATTTGTATGTGCAGATCTCGTTCTATCTAGATGTAACGAGTGTGGTTACTTTGTAACATTGATCAAGCACTCACACGTTTGTACTAACAAGATGTATTGCTGGTGATTTAAGATGTACTCCTTTAAAGGCGGTGCTTGTAATTAATAAATCGACATCTATGTTGGTTTATATTGAAATCCTTTTTGCATGTGACTGAGCGCGAATATAGCTGCTCGTTGATGTATACAGTTTTGTATGTGAGTAAGCTCGAAATGGTTCCGATGTATCTCATCATTCATCCTCTTGTTGTTGTTCTTTTTATGTAGCAGATTAACTATATTGAAAATAAAAATTTTCTAATGCTTATTCGTACGCCAGCACATTAAACATGTGGCAAAATTCTTTTTAAATACAAAAAACTAATTGTGTGTATGAGAACCAGAACATCTCCCTCAATGGAACTATTATTTTTAACCTGAAAATATTCTTAATGGAAAGTCAGTCTTTGAAGTAAAGAATATTCCTTTATGAAAGGCAGAACTGCATTTTTAGAAACGTTATATTAAGTGGGACCATAATTCCCCTTATAATACAGGTGACTCGATTGTCATCGCAAGATGTATCACGTTTATCAAAATCAAAAGTCAAAATCAAAGGAAGTCCGCCATTTAGATCGTAGTGCGAGTCTCCCAGGTTAACAATATCGGTCGGACTTCGTTTTGATTCGTTTTGCAAGCAGTGTTTCGTGCAAATCACCCTCTCTTTGTGCACGTTTCACGGATTTCATATCGAAAACTTCCTCGGGAATGTTTCGACATTTTGTGTCCACCTTTGAATGCTGATACATCTTGCTGAAAAAACCAAGGAACTATCTTAGGAAGTAATAATTTCATGCGTATCCACAGATACAAAAGGGGATGAATACACATACACATATGCCTGAGAGCAGTCCTTCGCAGACTTCTTGTCTTCAGTTGCTCGCCAGTCCACTGGACCAGTTTTTTGAGCGTTTGTTCTTATCTGGAAGTATAGTATTTGTCCTATGACCTATTAAATGATAAAGGATAGAGCTCTCAGCGTTGATCAAACCCTGCATGAGAAATGCACCATGCATTCGACTTCATCGAGTTTCCTTAGAGATAATTGAATGTATATCTGGTCTTTACAATAACTCGCGGCGGCTGCCTACCGATACGTATCGAATCAATGCTGTTATCCTCCCAGATAAGTCTGGTACCAATTCGCCGACCCCGGAGGGATGGAAGAGTTGGCGAGCTTCGGCGCAGGCATCTATCCCAAGTGCAATGCAGGGCTCATCTAAACACTGCGCTGCACACGCCTCACTTCTATCTATTATTACCCAAAACTGTAACTTAAACCTCATTTGGCTATGTTGTAGTGATTTGTCGTATCGCAAATTTCGCCCAATATTGCCCAATAAAGAATCAAGACTGCATTACTTAAAAAGCAGAAGCCAACTGAACAGGTGAAAATATGAGGATCTTATTTGGAACTTGGACCTTAACACAGGTTATTTGTAAACCAATGAAAATAATAGGTAACAAACACACATTGACCATTTCTTCGTCACCGGCTCGCTTACTAACCACGTAGATTAAGCCATCCTTACTAACAGCCATTGACAGAAATAACTGATTGCATACTGCTTGGATAGCACTTTTTCCCTAAACGATCATAGGATCGACCCATTACGATTTTACGATTCTTGGTGTACCACGGCACTACTAAGGAACAAGGAGAACCTCTTCAAAAACCACTTGGAAACGTTCACGTTGTCCAATTGCTTCTGCTGTTGCAACCAAGGATCCATCTGTGTCAACTCCAATGTATTTCCCGTAACCAGTTTTGAAACTTAAGCATTAAAGAACAATGGTTCACAGATTCGTTATAGATGTTCGGTTTCTTATTCCAATTTGATACGGCATAATGACAACAAAAGTAAAATATACCTTGTCTTAGGATCATCAGGAGTTTTCACAACGGCGAAAATCTCCTCAGGGTTCGGCTCAGATCCTTTCTGATGAGGCATCCCAATAGTGAATCGGCCATTATCCAGCGCTGATAAGTAACAACCACTTCCACTTCCACATTCAAGAGAAACATGTTCTCCTCCTCTAAGATCGACCTCATCGATAATTTTCCACCAACCTCCTAAAATCTTCAGGGAATCGAGATATGATAGGCAAGCGACACGAAGAATGGAAGGGAAACAAAGGAAAATGTAGGATTGGCGCTGCTACTTAATCGCATAAAAATGAAGCAAAGCAGAATGGCACTTGGATACTTGCAAGGCACCTCTTCACTCGTTGTGCAGACCCCGCATAGTTTTCATTCTCTTGGAGTTTTGCCGGTTCAGCCATTGTGGTTCAATGAACTCCTGAGGTCAGCGTAGCCAAGATCTGTCCCAGTTCGTCGCCACCAACCATAGCCAGTCGTCGTCCTTGTAGATCAGAGGGGTATTTTCCACCATGCAACTAGCGTGACACCAGGACGGTGGTGGACCCTGGCATTTGTTTACTCTTAGCTGGGCTTCCTGATGGAAAGGCCGGAGTCCTTCTCACCTGGGAGGCTCTGTCTGGCGCATGAATCCCCCCGGCTGTACTTCGCAACCACACACCCAGAATCACCTTCCAGCCACTATGAGACAGTAAACCGTTGGGAAGGAGCAGAATTATGCAAAAAATATATCGAATATATCACATTTTCTGACTGGCACTATTACTTCGCTGTCTATAACAATCCAATTCAAAAATTAACAAACCATGGAAATCTGCGTCAGGATCAGACTTATTTTCGTCCTCTCTTCTCAACTTGTGCTTCCTTTTCTTGTCTGCTTTGAATCTAAATAAAACAGAGATCGTTAAATGTTCCTAATTCAGTGCAGTCTTGAACGTCTAGTGTCTAAACGTTGCCGAAAACACATCGAGACTCACAAACTCTTCTTATTCTCCTTGAGTTTCAACGTTCCACCTCGAACGGCTTTGTAATCGTCCGACATTGTATCACTAAAGTCCTATAGGTCAAAAGACAGATGAGAATGAGAAAAAGAGAAAAAACGGGGCTTTAATGCGCTCCAATAGGAATAAAGCAAAGCGTCCAACATTCATAATTGGCTGATACCACAATGTTTACTGAGTATTCGATGAATGCCACGCTCTCTTTACGCGTTGGCGAACGACGTCTCTTTAGCCTTATCGTTAATAATGGGTAGGAATAGTGTTGTAATCGTTCTGTCTTTGCTTTGTTAAGTTCCGAGCGGACTCTAAGGAAGTGACCTCAGCTATGTATATTTTCATAGTGCTTGGCATAAAATACTTCGATAGCTGTTGTCGTGTGTCATTAGTATTTTTTTATCATGTCCTCTGTATGTCTGTTTCTTGTGCGATATAGTGCGAGCTTCAAAAAACGCTCTCTAGTTTTGCTAGAGATGTCTAAAGACTTATAGATGTTTCCTTATCTTCGAAACAAGGGCTATGTAAAGCGCAGTGGTTGGAGGTACTCTGCAGTACACATCGGTTCGATCCTGCCGTCCATGCTCACCACCCTTCATCACTTCGCGATCGGCAAATTGGTAGCATACCTGTCTGCAATGACACCATTGTTTGCTCGATACATCGGTAGACCAGCGCGAGTCATTGTAATGGCCAGATATGCATTCAGTCACCTCCGAATTATGCTTAACGAAGATGACTGCTTTGTGCGTTCTACAGGGACCGATCAGCGCCGAGAGCTTTGTCACAGAATGCAGTTAAAATTTGTAATCATCTGCTGAGGTACCTGACCCTTTTATTTGTTAAGTAGTCGTTAGAATACAAATGGATGTCTAGGCGGTGCAAGAGCCTCGTCAATGCAAGTGTTTTTGGGCACTACTGGATTCGATTCAATGCGATAACGACCACACATATCGCAACAACGACCAGCTTGGAACCACCGACTCGGGTCAACGTGGCTCTGAAGGCGGAGGTGCCGAAACGTCAGCCGTGTAGAGGTTTTTATGCCAACCTCGTGTCAGCTCGTCTATTTAGAAAGTTGTGCGTCAGATCAGTAGAATTCAGGGTCGGTCTTTGAAGACTGTTGAGAATGTGGCGCTATATTTTGGCTTGCACATTGTTCGCACTGGAAGTTGTCACCCAGTCTTGTTAATTTTGGGCCTTTGATTCTCTATACCATTTTAGATATGCAAATTTTTGTGAAGACTCTCACTGGAAAAACCATCACTCTTGAGGTTGAGGCATCGGACACCATCGAAAATGTTAAAGCGAAGATACAAGACAAAGAGGGTATCCCTCCCGATCAGCAACGTCTAATCTTCGCTGGTTTGTTTTATTTTAATACTTGGTACTGTTTGGTCGCACGAATTTTCAGTGTAATTTTCTTTTTTATTTTCGTTTTTCTGACAGCAAAAGCTGATCTGATAGTTGCGTATGGTATTTGGACCACTGTTCTGAAATTTCCACGGGCTTATTGAAATATGAAAATCCATTAGTATTAGTCATAACGTTGCTGATATTTTCGCAAAACTTCGACCCAGGGCAGGATAGAACCACGATCTCCCTTTCCGAGGTCTCGCGCATTACGCAGTGTGCCTCGGAGGGCCTTGTTGTGCGTTTCTCTCAGCTAGTTTTCTATCTATCAGTGCCATCAGCGATCACCCGTCAACGGGATTGATCTGGGGAGCCTACATCGGCATTGAATCCACTTAAACTGAAGCTGCAGTCGAAATCACATTGAACATTGTCCTAGTTTCGCGCATATCTCAGCATCGTTGCCATTGATTTCGCATGATACCCTACCGTGAAAATTGTAGTAGGCAGTAAATATGAAAGCAAGCAATGTTAGTGCTAGTATATGAAATTAAGTAGGAAATAGTTTGCTAAGGATGAAGTTTCTGTTATCTAAGGAAAGCAACTTGAGGACGGCCGTACGCTGTCAGACTACAACATTCAGAAGGAGTCTACCCTTCATCTTGTTTTACGCCTTCGTGGAGGTATGCTGTTTTTAGTATGTCTATTAGACTAATAATAGCTTTGCTAGGTTTTATTCTTCATGCGAGATGTTGTTTTTATACGTTTTAGTATGTCGGGATTTTTACTAATACGTGCAACGGCGCCTAATTTTCGTTAATGCTCACAGTTATTACAGTTTGATCTTTGAATCTTTGTGTCCACCTGTGTAGCCTTCTATTCACGAAACTAGAAATTGATGAAGTTTCAGTTTGCTGCGTTGAGTTTTGGATCCATGTATGTTTTAAGTTTTCATTAACTGCTGAACACAGTGTTTGATACACAGTTTCGTGTTTCGTCACCGCTATTTTAGTCAGTAAAAATTGCAACTTTTTCCGAGTCGTTAGAGTTTTCCATTTACAAAGGGTACGTATTTGTAATTAACTTTCGTAGTGAGTTCCGTGATGTTCAGATGTAACTTTGCTTGCTACTTCAGTGAATTTAAAGAAATGGTAGGAGTGTTACTCTGCAAAGGGGATAGTACTGAGAGTGTTTCATACCGCACAAATAGGCCAGTATCCGAAGATCCTATTTACGTCTACGACCAAATACCAGAGTTGCTTTCGTACACGCGGTTATCAAAAACTCTATGCGTGAGGCGCTTTAACGCAACTGTAGGGCAAAAACTGTTAGCGAATTTAGCTCACGGGATGTTAAGCACACGGCAGGAAGACTATGGACCTACTTATTCGAATTCTTACTAGAAGAAATATCTGATGCTCGTCTAGTTTCATTAGCGGGTAGTACCCACTAGGCTACTCTTGCACGCGATAGTGATATAACACATGGTTAGTTTACCCGCTAGAGGAGCTCGAAGATCAAAGACAGATGGTACAGGTGACGCATAGGTAATTGCAAGTTCCTTTCTCACACAACACTCCTTTCATTCGTTTGCTTATCTTTTTTCCCAACTGTTATTCGTTCGTGGAAAAAGGGCTCGTATATAGGTTAGGCTTCAGCGTGAGGATTTGTCGCCTCCATTTATTGACATATTGCTGTACTACTATACTGATATACTACGATGTTTTATGTAATAGTGTTATTATTAATATTCCTCCAGCATTATTGTTTTTGTTGCAAGTTTTTAGTATTGAGAGCGAAAAAGGCATAATAGTATTATAGTATGCTTTCATTTAGCTTTGTATTAGTTTCTGTTTAGTAATAAACGTAGGATAGCTCCGTGTTTTAGGTATTATCGAGCCATCACTCCGTCAGTTAGCGCAGAAATACAACTGTGACAAGCAGATCTGCCGCAAGTGCTATGCTCGCTTGCCACCTCGTGCTTCTAACTGCAGAAAGAAGAAGTGCGGTCATTCGAATGACTTACGCATCAAGAAGAAACTGAAGTAAATCATGTGCACAGTGAATACGCGATAAGCTGTTAAAAAGTTTTTATCCTATCGTTGATATCGAAAAGCAAATATTACATGGAGCATGCGAATATGAAACATTCTTCGTACTGCGTCTATAATATCCTGCACCTCTCCACTGATGTTCGATTACTTGACCAAGCGTCTGAAAATTTGATTCCTTGTTGTTTAAAGGATCGTCACTGTAAATGTCGTTTGTTAGGGAAGTAACCAATGAAACAAGGTGACACAAGTGTTACCGACGCCCAGCAGCATAATGTTAAGTAGCTTCCAAATTCAAACCGTTTGCAGTGTTGCTAAGCGAATTTATTTTTCCAATGTTTTCATGATTTGGGTTGGAAAATATTCCTTGTTTGCCATCATCAGGTTGAACTTTTCTACCAATGTTTTTGAGCCAATCTGCCCACATTTGTTTCTCGGGTATTTTTTTGCAGCAGGAGTTCCTAAAATTGGACTATCAATTTTGGTTAAACCAGTAGTTTTATCCTGTGCCAAATAACAGGATCGCTCAATGTTGGGTATTTGCTGAGTCGCGCGGTACGTCGTGTGCAGTGTTGATATCGTCTACGACGAGGACAATGTTGATGGCACCGTTGACCGTTCCTGATCACAGTAATGGGGAATTTGACCCGACACCGTTGGCCACTGGATCGGGAATTCGAAGCACATAACTGTTCTCGAATGCTAAGCCCTGAACAAGTACTCTTACGTTGGGCTCCTTGTCGATTCGATGTGAATTCGACAAAAATGTATGTCATAGAATCTCTTTTTTTTTCAAATGCTGCAAGGTGAAGAAAATCGCGAAGAATCTCACCGTATGTGGGTGTCATGGTGGTATGGTTTTCTTCAAGAGCTACCATCATCGCGACCTATAAAAGTATGATTTGTGTGTCCTTACAACAAAGTTCTAGCTGTGGTTGGAAGCTAGTATAATAGAACTATAGAAGAGTAGAAGTATAGTTCAGTAGAACTAGTTATTAGATGTCTATCCACAACGGAAGCTTAGAAACACTTGAATGCGTTGCTAATTGGCAAGCCATCCTATAACCTATCATGAGAATATGGGGTTTAAAGTGTCCAGTGAAGGGGATCTCGTCTAAACAGTTCCTTCACAGAGGTTTGTAATGCTTCATGACTCATGTTTGGCAGTAGAAATAGTGAGAAGTGTTGATTTTAGTGAATCCTGTGTCTCACAATTCTATCTTAGTGGAGAGTTGCTTGGTTAAACCGCCGTATACTATAACTACTATAAACTATACTACTACTATAAACTGTTGGGAATGGTAACGCGGTATCAAATTGATGGACCAAAGTGTTCAATGAAGGCTCGAAATACGGTTGTACAGCATCTGGTCTGGTACTGGATTTCACAATGGGTGTGGTGTTTGCAACAGATGTCTCGTTCAGGACACTTCGGTGAAATGTTTGGGAAAGTGCAAGTTGACTTTCACTTTCTCCGAATTATTTGTAACAATGGTATCACTTTTTTTCTCACTCGGATCACCGGCTCTGAGGAAGACGAAGACGTCGAAACGTTAGCCGAAAATAAATATATTTATCAACCTCGTGTAAGCTTATCAAGAAAGAATACATAATGGTATCACTGTTTGTAGAAGTAGCCACGTTCAAAATTTCATCAGTAGTGTGTAGAACCCCTGCAGATTGATGTGCATCTTCGGTAAAGTTCGCTCGCTCTTCTGATATATTGGGGATTTCCGTATTTTATCAATGGAAGCTGAGGAAATATCGGAAGAATTGTTGTTGTCGACTATAAGCGATAACAATTCTGCAACTACTGACGTGGTCACTGTTGAAGACGGTTGGAGATTCCCATCTGATGTGGTAGTTCTTGAAAATCTTTCGAGAACACCAATGTCTGTTAAGTTTAGTTTGTTACCGTTTTGCGTGAAAGTAGTGAAAATTGCCCACTCGTTAATAGACAACTGTTCCAGACTACTGCATCGATGCTGCAGTCTTCATGGTGATATAGCGTTCTGCCAATTTCTTCTTGGCAACGGACGTCTTTGTAGAGCCATCAGCAGCTTCGAGACAGATACCGCTTCTACACACGGAATCGTGGCATGGATCTATGTATGAGAATCCTGCCCAGTTTGTTGATAATGCAATCCGGCTGATGCGTTCATGTCGTAGCCACAAAACGCCATCGATGAATGAGTAGCACATCCAGCACAGGCATCTGTAAAAGTAGTAATGATTGTACTCACTCAACAGTTGTGTTATAATAGAACCGTATGCAGCGAACATGATCGTTTCATTGGATTTTCTTACTTTTTTCTATATCGTTAGCACTTTTTCGTTCCAAACCTTTCTTAGCATCTGTGGTGTTCAATGGATCATCGAATAGTATTTGTGTTGGGAATGTTTATTTCGCAGGAAGTCGTGAAAAATAAGCTTTACGAATGCAAAGCGATTGAAGAACAAGCAGCTTCGAAAAACGTCGGCGAAGCGGTCGATCCCTGCGCACTCACCTTTTGCGTCTTCCCATTGTCTAAGGTGATACAAAATAATGAATAACTGTGCTGCATGACTAAAAAAAAATCGGTGCCCTGAACAATTTGTTGACATACAAATGGCGGAAGTGTTTCGAAAGTCTTCGTGGAACTCTAGAATTTCTCTGTACTCTTGTCGAGCAAGCACGAAGTGCTACTTTATTCTTTATTACGGTGAAGCTGACGTTTGGGCGGATTTCGCCTTCTTCAAAGCCTAAGAAGGTCAAATTTTTAAAAAAAAATTCTCTGGCAATCGTATTTCGCGGTCTTCTCACACTGATCAACTTTAGTAGAAGCAAGTACCTATACTGAGCGGATGGAGATATGAGAATTTACGTTCTTTTCTGGGAAAGTGACTCTCCTTTAACCTCAGTATGACTAATCAACATATTGTAGTAACTCCCAAGTCCGACTTTCTATTAACCTCGGCGTTGATTGAATATATCTTTCTACTTCTGTTCAGCAAGCACGAGGTGCTATTTTATTTCTTTATTTACGCACAAGCTGACGT